AGATGGCTTCTTATAATCTCAGCTATAATTGACTCTAGTAATTTGCCTACAATTGAGGTCAGGTGCCTACAATTGAGTATTTTAACTGAATCAAAAATTTACACCACACTGTGCTACTTTTTTTGTGTATTGAGGTAAAGGGGGCTCACCATATGGGATCCTAGGATGCCTTTTTCAGATCACTTAATGCATATAAGACATCTAGTTATATTTATGGTTAGGTAAGATTTGCTAGGAAGCAGAACAATTGTTTCTTGACGTGGGTCTTTGTCTTATGATAACCTTCCACTAGAGCTTTGGTCATCTGAGGGAGGCCTGCTGGCTTACCAGCCCACACCTTTAAAAATTAAAATTATATGCTTATGGGAAATGCTAATTCGCAGAATGGAAGACAATAAAGGTTTGGTCTACAGGAATGGATGGTAACTTCAATTCCATGGATCAAGAGCCATTCATTGGTCTAGATCTACTGGAGGTTATGTGGTACAGCTACTAGGCCCCTGTCATGGGTTGAGGTATAGGCAGCTGATGTTGTCATTTGATAAATAACCATTCTCGAAATATAAAAAGAAAAAAGTGTACTTATTTCTTAATTTAGAGGCTTATTTTCTTAGTATTTTTATTATTGTATTTTGGGTTATCTTGGGCAATATGGATCGACTAGTGTGACCCCTATAAGGCGCTCCTTAAGTTCATTTCGCCTTCAAACATTAATAGGTACGTCATATATAGTGTACGTTACTATTATATTGTGCATTATTATTTTTTTAATTTTTCATCACTAGCTAATGCCAACTACCTCCAATACTTTATACTTCTTTCTTACTGCTATTAATTGCTCATAATTTTGTGTTACAAGTCAAATCTTACTCCAAATTAATATTATTCATTGTTCTTACCTGTCCATTTAATTTTGTTTACCACTACTTGTCTTTTAGTCACTTTTTATTGTGTGTGCAATTAGTGTATATTCCAATTACTTTTTTGCAAGTCCCAAAACTATCTTTTGCTAGCTAGTACCAACTACCTCATATTTTTTTACTTTTTACTGTGCAATAAACTGCAGAACTTACTTAAAATTACAAATCAGATCTTACTCTTAAACCAATATCATTTCATAGTGACTATCTGTCCATTTAACTTTGTTTACCATTACTTAATTTTAGTCTCTTATATATTTTCTCCTTTATTTTAGCTTTATATAACTACCCTAGTTCATATATTCACAATTGTTAAAATAATCAAGGTGCTATTCTCAGGTGCTAAAGTGTAATAAGTTCACAATTTTGCCATTATATTCCAAAACTCATTTATTTGATTACCACTTTATTGTTCACCACAACTTATATAAGTCCCTTTTATATTGTTTTCCCTAATTCTAACTTCAAAGAATTACCTTTAAAGTACTACCTACTATCATATTCCCAAGCTCCATTATTTGATCATCACTTTATTTGTTCACCACAAATTATTTTAGTCCCTTTTATATTGTCTCCTTTAAAAAAACTACCTTAGCTCATTATTTTTACATTTGTTAAATAATTCAGGTGCTATTTTTTAGCTTTAGACTATTTACTTTGTTTTATACCTAATTCTAACTATAGATTCACTACAAATCTTATGATTACAAGCATTGATCCTGATACCAACCTCTTATTTAATGACTTAAATGAATCAAACAGTAACTGTAATTACTACACAGCAGAACAATCAAAGGCACTCCTCAGAGCCAACAACAACATAACTATCTTTAACTACAATATCAGATCTTTAAGCAAGCATTACGATGACCTCATAGCATTACTAAATTCCTTGCATGCCAATATGTCCATCATTACACTAACTGAAACCTGGCTAAAGCCTGATACTACAGATGTCTATGCCATTCCTGGTTACACAGCCGTACACAACTGTAGGCCAGACCAACAAGGGGGTGGCACAGCTATATACTACTCAGACCAACTAGAATGTATCACTAATACTTGCACAAGGGATGAACATGGGGAATATATAATAGCTAAATTCAAATCCAAATGCCTACAAAAACCTCTCACAGTGATAAACATCTACAGAGTTCCACAGTCAAACATTAGCCAATTTAGCCAAAACCTAGGAAGTATGATACCTGATGCACGCATGAACAAAGATCACTTACTACTCTCAGGTGACTTCAATATAAATCTCCTGCAAGACCAGGACCCACACATTACTGAATTCACAAACAAAATGAGTAACTGCATGTTGCTACCAACAGTAACAAAACCTACAAGAGTTACAGAGACTAGTGTTTCCCTACTTGACCACATCTGGACCAACACCACATCCCCTTGAAAATCAGGCATAATCACAGATAATACCACAGACCACTACCCTACTTTCCTCATAACAACTCTTGGTAAATTACCCCAAGACACTACTAAAGTCACCTTCAGACTTCACAATGAGGCAGCCATTAATAACTTCACAACAGCAGTAACAAACATTGACTGGCACACTGAGCTAGAAATCTATACAAATATTGACGAATGTATTAATAATTTTCTAAAAAAGACCCAATACCTCTATAACAAGCACTGCCCTAAAAAAACTAAACAGATGACAGCTAAGAGACTGAACAGTCCCTGGCTAACACCCAGCATTCTCAAATCCATAAATGCAAAACACCTATATGAAAAACAGTACAGAATGGGTCACATAACCAGAGACCAAACAAAACGTTACTCGTCAATCCTAACCAGCCTGATAAGAAGAGCAAAAAAATTGTATTATGAGAACAGATTATCCAACTTACGAGGTGATATAAAAAAGACCTGGAAAACCCTATCAGAAATTATAGGAACAAAAAAGATATCACGAAATAGCGAAATAAAATTAGCAAAATCAGATGAACCCCAACTCCCACCAACAGAAACAGCTAACAGACTCAATGATTTCTTCTCCACTATAGGACAAAACCTTGCCAATAAAATCCCAAGCTCAGAGACCCCACCAAATGACTACCTCACTGGCAACTACCCGAACACACTGTTCCTAGCTCCGACTAACCCATATGAAGTCTCCCTTATTATCAACACACTAAAAAACAAGGCAGGAGATTTAAATACCTTACCACCCTTTATATACAGAAAAGTGTCACAAGTGCTATCACCAATCACTGCAACACTCTTTAACAAATCCATTGAATCCTCCACCTTCCCTACAGTTCTCAAAATAGCAAGGGTCACCCCGATCCATAAAGGAGGAGACCAAACAGAGTTGAATAACTATAGGCCAATATCCAACTTACACCCTCTCTCAAAAATCTTCGAAAAATTAATTCATAAACAAATCTACTCCTACCTCATCTCCCAAAACATACTCAACCCCTGCCAATTTGGATTCAGGCCTAATAAAAATACTAATGATGCTATTATACACATGCTAGAACATATATACACTGCAATAGAGAAAAAAGAAGTCCCACTGGGGATCTTCATTGACTTACGTAAAGTTTTTGATACAGTTGACCATGACTTGCTCCACATAAAATTGTCACACTATGGTATAAGAGGGCACTCCCTCAATTACTTCAAGTCATACCTCAGCAACAGAAGCCAATATGTGTACACAAATGGGGCAAACTCTTCCGCACAACCAATTACAGTTGGTGTCCCACAGGGAAGTGTCCTTGGCCCTCTTCTCTTTCTCCTATACATAAATGACCTACCAAATGCTTCGCAATTACTCAAACCCACACTATTTGCAGATGACACTACATACGTCTTCTCTCACCCGAGCCCAGTCATGCTAGCCAATACTGTAAATACCGAATTACAGAAAATATCTACCTGGATGAGGACTAACAAACTTACACTAAACATTGACAAAACCTACTTCATTCAGTTTGGTAACAGAGCTACAGATGTCCCTCTTAACATAATGATAAACGGATCACCTATCACAAAGCTAACAGAGGGAAAATTCTCAGGAATCCACCTTGATAATAGACTCAAATTTCATACACATATACAACAAATTTCTAAGAAAATTTCCAAGACTGTAGGCATACTATCGAAGATACGGTACTATGTTCCACAGTCAGCCCTCCTGACCCTATATCACTCTCTTATTTACCCCTATCTCACCTATGGAATTTGTGCATGGGGCTCAACAACAATTAACCATCTCAGACCACTAATTACCCAACAAAAGGCTGCAGTTAGAATGATAACAAATTCTCACTACAGGCAGCACACTCCACCAATATTCAAAACACTCAACCTACTTACCATACAAAACATCCATACTTATTATTGCACCTGTTACATACATAGAACACTTAACTCTGATATTAACCCTCCCCTCAAACATCTCTTTGCCAACCTCAACAGAACACATGACCATAACACAAGGCACAGATCACTCTTTGATGTTCCTCGTGTCCATCTCACGCTATGCAAAAACTCAATGCACATAAAAGGCCCTAAAATCTGGAATTCATTACCTGTAAATATAAAAGAAACACTACCTGTTTATAAATTCAAGTCTCTTCTCAAAGATCACTTACTCACCCAAAACCAAATAAATACTGAATAACTGAACCTTATAAATTGTTTATCTTAAATGTTTCTCACAATTATATCACATAAATGTTAAACCTAGGACCCAATCTAACTTTATTATTTTTTTAAATACACTACCTAACAGAATACTCCATTCTACTGAATGTACAGCAATGCATGCAACCATATGACCTGTCTTTGTAATACTCATTTGTGCTTTATAGTTATCTGTTTACAATAATGTTTTATCACTGATTACATCATTGCTTAGTTAATCTAAAGTTAATTTTAAGCCAGCCCGTAATGTTATGCATACAAGTGGCTTTGGCATGCTGCTCTTACCTGTATTTTTTGTACCTCTGTATGTATGCTCAAATTATAAAATAAATAAATTCCAGTTCTTCATAGTGGTATGAAGTTATTTGTGTCTGGCTGCAGGCAGTGAAGGTTATTACTTACTAATCAGTGTTCACCTTCCCTGGTGCCATGTTGAACTCCAGGCAACAATTTATACTGTATTCTCTGTCTCTCTCGTAAAACTTAAGCTGAGGCTGGTAATATACGCCTTCAGAAAAGATCGTTGGGCAAATTAAGTCTTTTCACAAAAGTTGCGTCATAATATTCGTAAGTGATGGCATGTTAAAGTTAACTCATCATTTGTCGCCTTGTATGTCTATCTTGTTATGTGGAGAATATAATGTAAATTCCATATAGTAACACGATATAAAAATGATATCAACCAAAATAAGCAAAATCATCTTATCTCTAACCACTTTGGTCCTGCACAACAGCTGGTACAGTAGTTATTTTCAGACGGTACTAACACTGCCAAATGTATGCCTGTAAAATACCCACCAATGATGTTGAATAGTGTTATAATCTTCAATATGTCTGTAAATGTTAACATAAAAAAAAAAAAACAGAGTAGAGCTTACCACCTGTGAACAAGGGAACCCGCTTCATTTAGACTTAGAGCGTCCAGCTGGCAACCACACCACCGGTTGTCCTTGGCAACGGCACTGGTCTCCCCTCAGTCTAAAAGTATCAACATCGTATAACAATTGTGTCTACAAGAAACAAAGGTAATATTAATAATATTAGCAAGCACAAAACACTTAAAAGCTGTACATTATGTGTTTATATCGTAAATTTTATTGATTTTAATATCCAAATAACATTTATTATTACTAAGATTTTAAAAATTTATTACACAATATATTAATATTTGGAATAGTTATCAGATCTTCATTGAAATGGTCTGTTTATTTTAAAGTATTTTGTAATTTAATTATTATTTTTCCATGTAAATTAATTATATCCTACTTTTTATCAAAAGCTCATTTGTTAATAATAATAATAATAATAATAATAATAATAATAATAATATTATTATTATTATTATTATTATTATTATTATTATTATTATTATTATTATTATTATTCGTGTGTGTACTGGGCTTTGCAAATGTCGTGCATGTTTAATCAGACTATTTTTTTCTGCAGTATATAAAATGTAGTTTACGTGTAATAAAATATTGTTAAGTACAGAGAAAGCTTCGCATGCTGATGGCTTTCTTTGTATAGACTAATATCAATGCTTTCTTTGGGACGACTAATACTAATGCATACAAACTACACATAGATTATTGAGTAGGAATTTTATTTAATGTACAAAAAATGAGGTAGTTGAGTGAACAATTTGAGCAAGGGCGCTATAGGCACAATAAGAGAACATTGTATCAACATCAATGGTCCTAAATGGCTGAACATTTATCCAGAAGACATCAGAAATACTGATGGAACAAGTGTAGAAGTATTCAAGAGAAAAGTGTACAAGTGCCTCCACCTAGTTAATGAAATTGTAAATATCGAACTTAAGCTGACGGTTGTGACCGGGTGTGGATGTGTGAATTGCTCATTACTTTATAATTTGTTCATGATTGTAACCATGTATAAACATTAGTAAGTAAATTTATTTACATGATTCATTACCTTTGTAACTTGTTCAGCTATCAAAACTTTGGGGCCCAGTCCCTAGGCCCAGTATGTACCTCTGTAATCTGTAAATACCTTTGTAACTTGTCATGACTGTGACCAGATCTACCTGGAGTTCATTACCTTTGTAACTTGCTCAACTATCAAAACTTTGGGGCCCAGTCCCTGGACCCATTATGTACCTCTGTAATCTCTTGACTACCACCCCCAGGATGGGTATGGGGTACATAAACATTAAACTAAAAAAAAAGCTGAAAGAATCTTACAGGAGACAAGAATCATAGGAAGAACTAAAAGCCATAAATCAAATCAATCAAATCAAATCAAAGTTTATTCTTTATAAGGATTACAATGCGGGGTTTACAGATTTTGGTTATTGTGTGGTTTACATGTAATAAAATACTAATTACAGAAGGGGCCACTAGAACACCTAGCAAGGCTAGGCATTTCGGGCAAACTTAGATTAATTCTTAACCCTAGGGAATTGAAAAGAACAAAACAAAATACTTCTTCTCTTATGCTAAATCTAAGGGAAAAGCAACATTCAGTATTGGGCCCCTACTTAGGCGAGATGGGACATACATAGATGACAGCCAAGAAATGAGTAAGATACTGAAGTCCCAATACGACTTAGTGTTCAGCGAGCCACTGCCCAGACTAAGTCGACAATCCAAATGAATTCTTTATGAACGAGACCCAAAATTTGGTCATCTCAAAAATCTCGGATATTATCCTAACACCACAAGACTGAAAAGGCAATAAATGACATGCCTATGCACTCTGCCCCAGGCCCAGATTCATGGAACTCAGTGTTCATCAAGAACTGCAAGAAGCTCCTGTCGCGTGTCTTCAGCATTCTATGGAGAGGGAGCGTGGACACAGGGGTCATCCTACACTCACTGAAAACAACAGACATAGCCCTACTCTACAAAGGTGACAGTAAAGCAATTGCAAAGAACTACAGACAGATAGCGCTAACATCCCATATCATAAAATGTTTGGTAGCAGAGCAGGTGTTGCGCAGCTTAACATTAAGATCGACAACACTAATTGCCAGACATAATGAGGGCAAATTCCTAGGCCTATACCTCGACAACAACCTGAATTTCAGCACCCATATCCAAACCATAACAAAAAAAGTGTCCAAAACGGTTGGGATCCTCTCCAAGATATGATACTACGTGCCACAAAATGCCCTTCTCACACTATACCATTCACTTATATATCCATACCTCACCTATGCTATTTGTGCTTGGGGATCAACTGCAGCAACACACCTAAAGCCAATAATAACCCAACAAAAAGCCACAGTAAGAATAATCACTAAATCCCATCCCTGGCAACACCCCCCCCCCCACTCTTCATAGATATAAACTTACTCCCTGTTCAGAACATTCACACTTGCTACTGTGCAATCTATATCTACAGGACCTTAAATTCCAATGTTAACCTTGACCTAAAATGCTTTCTTGATAGTTGTGACAGGATCCACAGGCATAACACCAGACACGAACATCTCTATGACATTCCCCGTGTCCAACTAAACCTTTACAAAGATTCAATGTATGTCAAAGGCCCTAAAATCTGGAACACCCTACCTGAAAACTCTAGAACTGCAGACCTTCAAAACTACCGTTAGAAAACATCTTATCTCCCTGATACACCCCGTCAACTAACTACATGAAAACCACCTGGTAGTTCACACACACTCACTCACTCACCCATTTGACTATAACACAGAAATACGAATCTTAATCTTAAAATAATGAATCCTAACTAGTCATAAGTTTGCCTGTGATACTCCAATATAGAAACTATGTATTGTGCCAAAACAAAAGCATTCACATTGCTAAACTCACAAACTATATATATATATATATATATATATATATATATATATATATATATATATATATATATATATATATATATATATATATATATATAATTTAGTCACTTAGCCATAATACCAACTTACTCCATAATTTGTAATAATTTAGAGTTAAGAATTAATCTAAGTCTGACCGAAATGCCTAGCCACACTAGGTGTCCTAATGGCCTCCTCTGTAATTAGTATTTTATAACATGTAAACCACACAATATCCAAAATCTGTAAACCCCGCATTGTAATCCTTATAGAGAATAAACTTGATTGACTGACTGATTGATTGATTGACTGATTCTAAGAAGCAAGATCGCCAACCACCTAGATACCCTTCAGTTACACAACCCAGGGCAACACGGGTTTAGATCAGGCCGCTCCTGCCTGTCCCAGCTACTGAATCACTATGACAAGGTCCTGGATGCTGTAGAGGATAAACAGGATAAAGATGTAGTATACACAGACTTTGCAAAAGCTGTCGATAAGTGTGACCATGGTGTAATAGCGCACAAAATGCGTGATAAAGGAATAACAGGAAAAGTTGGTAGATGGATCTATAACTTCCTGGCAAACAGAACACAAAGAGTAATAGTAAACAGAGTAAAGTCTGAGGCAGCTACAGTGAAAAGCTCTGTTCCACAAGGCACAACATTCGCTCCCATTCTATTCCTCATTCTTATATCTGACATAGACAGAAATGTAAGCCATAGCCCCGTGTCTTTCTTTGCGTATGACACCCGGATTGCCATGACAGTGACCTCCATCGAAGATACCCCAAGACTTCAAGCGGACATAAACCAAATCTTTCAATGGGCCACTCAAAATAATATGAAGTTCAACGAAGAGAAATTTCAACAACTCAGAGATGGAAAACTTGAGGAAATTAAAACTGTGTCAGGGTATACGACAAATTTTAACCATACAACAGAGCGAAAAAGTAATGTGAAGGACCTGGGAGTGATAATGTCAGAGGATCTCGCCTTCAAAGACCACAACAAAGTATCTTCCGCATCTTCTAGGAAAATGATAGGATAGATAATGAGAACCTTCAAAACTAGGGACGCCAAGCCCATGATGATTCTCTTCAAATCATTTGTTCTCTCTAGGCTGGAATACTGCTGTGCACTAACTACCCCCTTCAAGGCAGGGAAAATTGCTAACCTGTAGAGTGTACAAAGAACTTTCACACATAAATACGATAATGTACCTAAATTACTGGGAACAGTTGAAGGCCCTCGATCTGTATTCCCTGGAGTGTAGGCGAGAGAGATACATGATAATATACACTTGAAAAATCCTAGAGGGATTAGTACCAAACTTGCACACGAAAATCACTCCCTATGAAAGCAAAAGACTTGGCAGGAGATGCAACATTCCCCCGATGCAAAGCAGGGGAGCCACAAGTACAATGAAAGACAACACAGTAAGTGTCCGGGGCCCAAGACTGTTCAACTGCCTCCCTGCATACATAAGGGGGATTACCAATAGACCCCTGTCTGTCTTCAAGAAAGCACTGAACAAGCACCTAAAGTCAGTACCTGACCAGCCGGGCTGTGGTTCGTACGTCAGTTTGCGTGCAGCCAGCAGTAACAGCCTGGTTGATCAGATCCTGATCCACCACGAGGCCTGGTCTCAGACCGAGCCGCGGGGGCGATGACCCCCATAACCCTTTCCAGGTAAACTCCAGGTAGTACCGTATTATCCAGTCTTTGATGGATATGTGGCTCAGCGGGCCGCCAACAGGAACAGCCTGGTTAACCAGGCAAGCACCAGACAAGCCTGGTCCAGGGCCGGACTACAGTGGTAGAAAAACTCTCGAAAGTCTATAATATATGGCCATCTTTCAGAGTACAGGCACTGTACTTTCAACCTTAAGAACTGAAATCAGTCTGACTGGTATCCTCAAATACCTTCATAAGTTTTCCCTTCCTCACAATCCAGG